TCTCGTTACAACGAAGTGTTCGGGACCTTAATTATAAAAGCTTCGTAATTGATTAAACGAAATGAACATAAAAAATAATAATAACTCAGTACGTTGGAATCTCGTTACAATGAAGCGTTCGGGACCTTGATTATAAAAGCTTTGTCATAAACAAAACAAAATTAAAATTTTTTTTTAACCAGTACAGTACTTGGAAACTCTTTACAACGAAGCGTTCGGGACGTTAATTAGAAAATCTTCGTTATAAACGAAACGAAATTGAAATAAACAACACTTTTTTCTAATGTCAGTACTGTGCTGGAATCTCGTTACAACGAAGCGTTCGGGACCTTCATTAAAAAAGCTTCGTTATAAACGAAACGAAACGTTGCTTCTAGGTTCGCTAAATTCTCTGCAAAAAAGATCGAGTTGCTTTTCACTTTTATTCATTTGCATTAATGGAGTACCTTTAGCTTCCTGTGTAGTTATGAATTTAAGTATAGCGTAACACCGTAGAACAGTACAGCACTTTTTATATTTATATTCAATTACCACTAACTCGAAAGTTTCACCAAAACGAAACAGCACATTATTGAAATACACGGTTCCGCGCGGATCAGCTTGTTATTATTGCTGCTGTCCTCTGCTGGACGAGGAGCTTAAAAATTTAACAAATGAACATTTCAAGGCCTGTTTAAACACATGGATCAAAACTCAAAATAGCTGAGAAGTGTGTACAGAATCGGTGGTAATTACATTAAGAAGGTGTCTGCCTATAGCCTCTGCTTAAAACTAGTGAACATGAGAAAAATGTTCCTTAAAAAGTCCCTGATGCAGTTCACAGATATACAGTAGTAATTTTAAGTCCGCGCGGAAACGTGTAACTTCTCGTATACAAGTTGTACTATACCTGGGTGGACTATCTCAGCAGCCCCGCTTTCATTGTTGAATGTCCAGTAAGGGAAGTGGAAGCCGATGTAGAGCTCGTAAAGCAAAGCCCCCAGCAGGCAGCCAATGTGCGGAACCACCACAGGGATCCAGAAGTAGTAGTCGTAATAGTGGAACAGTCCCGTGCCCCAGCCTGCCATCACTGCAAATAGCCTGTTTAAATTCGTAGATACGTTGAATGCAAAATAATTCATGTACAGTACTGTACTACAGTAACATATGTGTGCATTACAACAAACTCTCGGGGACTTCGAAAAAAGATTACGTTACAATAAATTATTTGTTATACCAAGATTTTCAAAATGTTTGACTGCTGATTGGAAGATTATAAAAAAAAAGTAAACCTTTATTTGTTCAACATATTTCTTTTGTGGCCTTTTCAGATGTTTTTCACTGTTTAAAAGTGATCTTCAATAAGAAATGTAACCCTTGTGCAGCAAAGCTGGGATATTTTTGCCAAATTTCATCCCCATGATGAGCTGTGCAAATTTTAAAAATTTGATGTTTTAACCAAGGCCCACAATAAGTTGGAAGAAGTCCATTTTTTTTTTAAATAATCCAGCGGAACATTTTGCCTCAAGAATTAAAAAATGCATCACCAGCAAATGGCATGAAAAAAACCATTGAGTGATGCATTTTTTTCATGAATTCCCATCATAGGATTAACATAGGGGATTTCTTTAGACAGTGGGATTTTCTGCACCTAGTTTTTCCCCCAACTTAAGCCTGGGAAACCTGGGAGCATTTCAGTGACCTTTGGCCAAACTGAAATAATGCCCTTCCCCCATGAAAAATCCTGACTTTTCCAGAGGATGACCAGGAACCCTCTTGTCATCCAAGGGTTAAATGTTAGCAAACATTTATTCTGAATAACAGGTAAATGCTAGCACTTTTTGTTGACTTCAAGTTTTCTTGGAAATTACTACTCAGATTTGTGGATGTTCCACAAAAAGGTTACAATTTTTAATCATCCACAAGGTTTATCTATGCATACAAACCCTTTCAACATGAGTTTTGCTGGGTTCAATATTTTTTTTTGGAAATGCTGAATAAAGTATGCACTGAATGGCACTAAAAAAACGAAATTTTAATTTGACAATAACTAAGTTGCAGTAAATGAGGAAAGTGTTCTGCTATGTTTTGTATATTTATTTTTTGTAGATTAGATGCTAATTTTCCACCAAGCTGTAAAGTAATGTATCAAAAATGACTCGTTTCATATATTTGTTCGAAGTGTTTGAAACTGTACAGTATATGGATAAGCTGCAGAAACTTGCCATTTCCCTTCTTGATTGATTTTATTATATTCACTTTTCTGTGCTCTTTATTTCCCTATATTATATTTACTGTACTGTGCATAATGTCGTCGAATTCACCTGGCCGCGAAATCGCGAGCTGGATTGATGGGGAATCCAGAATTGTATCCAAAACTGAGGGCAATGGCGATGACGGCGAGGCCCATGAAGATGGCCCCGAGTTCTCGACGAGCACCCAGGTTCCGCGGGTCCCACATGGCAAACGTGAGGCACCCAAACAGGCAAGAACCCACCAGGACGTCCAACACGCTGCCCATCTGCTGGCCAATGAGGACTCCGCGCGGAAAACTCGCGAACACTTCTGCAGTCACCAAAGTCCTGGGCCAATCATATATTAATTTTAAAAATGTTAAAATTGCATAGTGCATCTCTATATATATGAGAC